AAGATAAGATGATTTGTACTGCAAATTTTTAATAGCTCTTTTTGGTTTGTTAACTTCCTTTGTCACTGTATGTTTGTATGTTTGCTAAAACCAGCATTACATTTAGGATTGTTGATGTTAGAATATCAAGTACAGTAAATACTTTTAAAAATTGAATGCCCTTTTTTTTCAGTTTTATCCCAAATCTTCTTGCAGTCTGGACTGTTTTATCAAAATGGTTTTCAGTGTTTTACGTGTAAAGTTCTGATATAAAACTGTTTTTAGGAAGATTGAGAGATTATAAAATATACGCAATATATTGTAAAACAAATTAAAATTTAGCGATCAAATTTTACAGTTGTTTACAGTAATAAAAAAAAATGCTCAGTACTTGATAATGCCAATTTCAGTTGTTAGATTAGGCATCAGAACGTGATTATTAAGTGTTAACTTGTAAGTCACACCCACAACACAAACACTGTTTTACCATGTGGACATTTCCTATTGAAGTATCAGTTTCAATATATTTATACCCCCCCGCAACGAAGTTAGAGGGGGTATACTGGAATCAGGTTGTCCGTCCGTCTGTCTGTAGACACATTTTGTCCGGCTAACTCCTCCTAAACCTGTGAACCGATTTTGATGAAACTTTACAGGAATATTAAGGATCATGTGTAGATATGCATGCCCCTTTCTTTTTTTGAAAATTTTGGTTGCCATGGTAACTGGTCACTATAAACAAGTTTTCTAATAAATGTCCATAACTCCTCAGTTATTTGACCGATTGTATTCAAACTTAGTAAAAAGATGTAATTCAGTAAGGCCAATAATTGGAAATATTAGACGTTTCCCAAACTGTTACCGCAGAAACACAATCTTGGCCTCTGATTGGTCAAAATTTAGATATTGTCCAGTTTTGACCAAATTTGGTATATAGGGTTATTAAGGGATGCCAAACATTATAAAATAGGTTTTGTTGCCATGAAAAACATGAGTGTTTAGTGTAGATCAAGAACATAACGGCAGACATTTTTTTGTCTCTGTGGCCCCTCAGTGGAAAATATTACTTCAATAAAGATGTAAGTATTGCAAGACTCTCTTGATCATGAACAACATGTATTCCACCCCTTCTGATTTCCAGAAATGCAGGCACATGCAGAATATGTCAATTACTCTCAGAATAACACTTTAACTTATCCATTGACTCATTGCAGTGTGTGGGGAGGTATTGGTCAGCCATCTAGGCGACAGTTCTAGTTCACTTGTGCAAGAGTTATTTCCTTTGACAGTTTGAATCTGTATTTTTATGATAATTCATGGTTTCTTTAGATATCAGTGTTATTTGATACAGATACCAATTACAAATTTGTAATTTGATAGATATTTAGATGGGGTATTAAAACAAGTGTGGTTCAACACAACTGGCAAAGACGGTTTAATATTGCAACCAAAAAGATCTATTTTTCAAGGTGGCTTTTAATGTTACAATATAAAGATAATCTATTGAAATTTGGGTTTACTGTGAATTTGTTCTTGGACTTGAATTTGACCTTTAAAACTGAAAAGTAAGAAATCAGATTTTAGATGGATATATATATCCATGAATAGAAGTGATCATTGTTGTGGGTTTATAGCCCCATGAACAGTCATGGCCATTTTTAGGCAAGATCTTTGTGTAGTATATGGATAATACCTCACTGAACAACATGCAGGAGGCCCATCACACACTATCCAGAGAAATAGCAGTATCATACTAAAGTATTTTGCCCAAACATACAACCTTGACAACACAGCATTGATGGTGGTCTGCAATCTTAGCTACTTTTGAAATTCAAACTGCATGGTTTCAACTTAAAAGGATCGTACTCTTTTTCCCTCTTCCCTCCTTCCTTCTTAAAAAATGTGTAATTAGTAACAAAACTAGGTAGTTATTGTTATCACTAAAGGGCATATAGTGTATTGTAACCACATTCATATCTACTATCTAGATCCAGTCATATAGATTTGAATATGACCTTTGACCTTGTGTGGAAATGATTGACATGTTACATAATAGGAAGGTTAAACTCACATGTTGTGTGCGATGTGTGTATTGTGTCATTACAATATTACTTGCATTGAGGTAAATGGTTTCGAGCTGGTACAATATACCAGTCAGTAACTGAATATACGTAAACCTGTGTTTTTGTTAAGTGAGATATCATGTTGATCCAGACAGTTTAGGTGAGGCCTTTGTATATTGATCCAGATAGTTTAGGTGAGAACTTTGTGAATAGATCCAGATAGTTTAGATAAGGCCTGTGTATTGATCCAGAAACATATTGAATCTTACATAACACACTTGTCAAGTTTGCGATAATGTTGGATTTGAAAGTAAACAAAGATTTAAATATTGATATTAGTGCATATTTTTTATCTTTTGTTGCCTGCAGGATTGATACACTGACACTGAAATCTGACATGTATCTTTGGATGGCAGTTTCAACAATAATTAAGGTCGAAGAAAATCTTTTATTATATAATGCAACTATTGAATTTATGGCGGTTTAGAAGACTGTATTGATCATAAGTTCTCAAAAATGTTTTATTTCATAAATTTTAAATAACAAAATAATATATGTAAGCTGACATTCTGAGATCAAATTTTTTTTTTTTTTTTACCTTTATCTGCTCTGAAAAGTATCTGCTCACATTACGTAGGTGTATTTATTATGTGGATTTTTATGGTACATAAACAGATGATGTTTGAGTTTGAAGATAAAAAAGCTTTTGATGTAATTTGACACAAAAATCTATTTTGTAATAATCTTTTGAATCTAAATTAAAAATGGTCAATAGTTATTTCTTTTTGTATTTAATTAGCAAAAATTTGATTTGGGGAGAACTTAAATTTTATGAAGCACATACATTTTTATTTATCTACAATATTATGTAACTGATCAATTTGATATTCAGCATATATATATATATATATAATTGAAACAAGAACATCTTATCATAAATCTAGATTATTCAATGTCCACAGTGTTTGGGTTTGAATTAAGAGGGCAGCTATTTTAAATTATAATAATGAAAAATTTGAAAATTAATCGAAGAAATAAATCCTTGTTAGGTTTTATATCTAGTTATACAGGTAAACGTGGGTGTGCATGCCAGCCATAACAAACATTCCTGTGTAGTCCGGCATCCAGGAAAATAATATATTTGTGGGGGTGTTATCAACATTTAGTGGTTTTGCTTGTGTCACGTAAATAGTGTTAAATGTGTTACAGGGAGTAACATATACATCATGAGGTCAGCAGTTTATAAAATTTACCTGTGTTGCAGGTTTTATATTTTTATTTTTGAATCTTTAAAATGGCCACACCTTTAAAATTGATGTTATTTTATGAAATCAAATTCATCCCGTTTTGGCACTTTTTCTTATGAAAATAAAAGAATAAGAAAAAATCCTTGCACCTGATTTAAAAAAAGAAAATTAAAAAGTAGATGTAAAATAGTTAAATCATTTACAAAGTAATTTGTATGGATTAGTTTGATGAGAAAACTAGTTGTTTTTATTTCTGTCAAAGAAAATAAACATACACAGATGAGTACCATATTTATCTGGTTACAAGCCCATGCTTTCTGATAAGCCCAGCCATATTTTTTTCTGTTGCTTGGGATTACAAATTTCAATCTACTGACTTTTAGTGAGAGCAAACTCATTGTAATCCACTGGGCTAACTCAATGATATATATTCTCTCTCCCACCCCCACTGATAAATATATATGTAGGAGCTCACTTTATCAATATATTAACACCAGATGCCTTTAATGTTTAACAAGAGAAATAATTTGGGTTGGAAGACATTGGTTGGGTTAGTGAATAAATCACAGGTGAAAACACCTTTGTCGTTTCTGGGATGATACATTCAGAGGACCATGAGTCATGGTCAAAGTTGTATGGGTGTTGGAATTCAAGTCAGAGATGCTTTTCAACGCCCATCCCACCATTGTCACCAAAATCGGTCTACATCTAAGGTGAAACATTGCTATGTCCATTTTAATAGATAAATTTAATAGATAATTTTTCGTATGTGAGATAAATAGATATAGTGTGTATTTATAGATATGATAGAGATATCAGGTCAGTAACATACAGGAAATAACTAGTGTACTGTAATCTCACCCTGTGGATATTCGGTATCTATCCAACAATACGCTCAGCTAGCAAACTCTCCGTCAGTGTCAGAGAATTCATCTAATTCATAGTGTTTCATGGCTTTTCTTCTTTCATTATAAATTCTTGTTGTTTTTATGTCCCTGAAAATTCTCAGAGGAGCATATATAGTCATCGCATTGTCTGTCCTTTTGTCTGTCACTTCTCATCTTTCCGTCTGTCCTCTTCTTTGCCCACACTTATGCAAAATCATGAAACTTGGTGTATACATTGGTCATACAAAGGGGGTGTGCAGTGTACCAAATCCATCGCCCTAAATCCCTCATTACAGAGTTATTGCCCTTTATTTAAATTTCTTGCCTAAAACACAACTTTGAATTGCTTGCATTTAAATTAGGATGAAAAAATTGAGTGGATACTTTGATCATACTTAAACAATGTGCAGTGTACAAAATTAAGCCCATGGCAACCCCTTGATTACTGAGTTATTGCCCTTTGTTAAAGTTTTGTGTCGGGAGCATTACTTTGCCTGCATTTAAACAAAGAATATTGAAATGTAATGTAAACATCGGTGATACAAAAGCAAGGTGCAGTGAAGCAGAGTCAGGGCCCATGACCCCTTAGTACAGAGTTATTGCCCTTTATCAAAATTTTGTGTCATGAAAATAGCTTTCTTGCATCAAAACTAAGATCATGAAACTTGGTGTATACATAAGTCTTAACAAGAAATGTACAGTTTACCAAATTCAGTGCCTGCAGCCCCTTAATTACAGAGTTATTGCCCTTTATTTAAATTTTGTTTCCAATGCAGTTCCTGGGGAGTTTTACTGATACTCTTGTTTTTTCTCATTTTTCACAGAAACGTCACAAACAATGGCCTTTGTGGTTACCCAGGAGACAATATGGTGAAGGATTTGCCCATTATCTCAAATTAAATACAAAAGTGTTTGGAAAAATCTTCAAATGGCTGGCCGGTAAGATATTGGTTTAAATGTTGATGTGGTAATGTTTTTGTTGCTAAATATTGTAGTTATTTTATGCAACAATATTGCTTTTTAGATGACAGTTTTAACTCACATACCAATTGATCAGTCTCTAAATACATATTTGTCACTATTGTAAACCAAGGTTGGATATGTTTGTGTTGTGATGTTTAATAAGAGGTAACCTTTTTGATAAAAGTATTTATCAAAGCTCTAAGTATTTTTGGGGAAGTTATGTAGTAATATTTCTTGCTTTTGATTGAACCTCTCATTACAAAGTTTTCTTGTTTTGAACTTGTCTTCAATGTGTCTTAGATGCCTCGATGATTAAAGGAAAGAATATTTATCGGGCTTTTAAGCTACAAAAATTGTCAACTTAGAGAACAATGTATTGATAAGATAATTTCTTTATTCCGACAAAATGACATTAATCAGCACTGAATACTCACTGTAATTATTAAACTTTTGTCTTTTTTCCATAGGTGATGTTTATATACCAGCATTATGGCAGAGTCCCCCATGTCCAAACGGACTGAAGTTCCCTGTGGTTGTTTTCAGCCACGGCATAGGCGGTAACCGAACCACCAACACCACGATGTGTACTGAACTGGCCTCACAAGGGTTCATAGTGGCAGCATTGGAGCACAGGTAAGGTCAAGGTCATAGGTTTGGTCAGGTTCAAAGGTGATATACTCCTGTATGTTTATTCAGAGTGAAAAGCTTAATTTTGTGTCTGTTTGGTTAATTTTTAGGTCATTGTTCGAAAATACAGTTCAATAACCCAAGTTTAGGATTTAAGGTCAAAGTTAAAGGCCAAATATCAAAGTTAAATTTCAAGATTATGAAATCTTAAGATGCATTCTGATATCCAGCAGTTAAGGTCATATGCTTAATATTGGCTGTACTGGCCAAAGAGTCTGTCTGATGGTCTGTAGTTAAAATCAGTGTGTAAAGATGATCTCAAATGACCTCAGATAACCTAAGGTCAAGATCAGTAGATGAAGATCATCTGTCCAATGGCATTACGTTAGGTACAATTGTAACCAGGATAATGAAATCCATAAAAATTATTACGGGTATTTATATGAAAAATTTGTATGTATGTAAAATGTTCTTCTAGAGATATAATAAATAAAGATTATACATTTTTTCAGAGATGGGTCAGCATCTATGACGTATGAGCTAAAGTCAAATGAGAAAGGAAATGTGGAGATCGTAGAGGAAGCAGAACAACCACAACATAAACAAAACCGTCTTAAACGTAACCACAGTTTTCATGGTTACAACACAACAGATGCGGAATGGAAACCTTATGTACATTATGAACCCTGGAATGAATTTGAGTATCGAAATAATCAGGTGAGACTTTGTTTGAAGAAGGCAATCACATGTAGGTATTATCTGTCCAGCCATGTATCTGTCTGTCTGTCTGTCCGTCCGTGTATACAGCTGTGATAAAGTTTCTCGACCTGGAAGGTCCATGTGCCACAGATATTGAAGAGCATGTGACTCTGGTCTATGGAGAGACTTACTTCTGAGACTTGAGACTTTCCTCTGTAACTATCAGGCACTAGGCTACTCAATTCATTCTCAAAAAATCACATTTGCTTTTTTGCTTACAAAAACAATAGGATAATTCTGTATGTGAATTGGAGATGGGTAGCCATGCAGGCAAACTTTAGAGGTTGTATGTGAATTGGAGATGGGTAGCCATGCAGGCAAACTTAAGAGGTTGTATGTGAATTGGAGATGGGTAGCCATGCAGGCAAACTTAAGAGGTTGTATGTGAATTGGAGATGGATAGCCATGCAGGCAAACTTTAGAGGTTGTATGTGAGATCTTATATTGTATTGCTGATTAATCTTTCATGGGAATATGGTTTGAATTGGACATAAGCCATGTTATTGAACATCAGAACATATTCTTGGTTTTCAGTACTGAATTTCATTTTATTTTTTCTTCAAGGTCAAGAAAAGGTCACGAGAGTGCTCTGAAGCTTTAGATATTTTGACGTCACTAAACCTTGGTGTAGAAGTTCATAATACCCTCGGAGGAAATTTCAATAGCAAACTGTTTAAGGTATGTTAGAACTTGCCACATCAACAAAATTGTATACACCGTATGTATGAAAAAATGTAACCCATAAAAAATTAAACTTGATAAAACTTGTACTTATTGTAGTCAAATGTTCATGATAATCTATTCTCAGTTTTGATAAATAATGACATTAAATTTTTCTTTCTTCCATTATTTGTGTATGATCTAAGGGAGGTAACTCAGTTGAAATGCAATTTGAAGTTGTATTTAAACAGAAATAAATATTTAGAGCAATCAAGTGGACATAATTTAATGAATGTTGATAATTTTTTCAAAGTTTTGAATTTTTTCCATCATAATTTTTCCAGGATCGCATGGACTTATCGAAAGTGATAATGATCGGCCATTCCTTTGGTGGCTCCACCTGTCTTCATACCTTGGCACATGACAAACGATTCATGTGAGTTTCTGTTCAAATCAGTGACATATTTGTTGCAATGCTAATCCCAGGGATCTGGCACAAACCTATATGGAGTTTGTCTGCAAGTTGCTCTACAATTTCTTTTGGTCCTAAATCATACGTAAAACAGTGATACTCGAACACCTACACTTTATAGTGGGTTTTAATGAAACATTATGCAAAGGTCAAATGTGACAATATCTTTGGATTCAAAGGTCATGATAAGAAAACATTACTAGTTTTAGAAATTTCTTAAATATGGTTTGTATACTTACTGGTTTATATATGGAAGTGAGGTTATTCCCGTCATACAGGTGTTTTCTATTTAAAGGAAATGACTTTCTCCAGTATGTTTTAATTGTATTTGCTAATCAACTCACCTGTTGGACTTTCAGTATTGGTGCTGTGCTGGATGGCTGGATGCATCCTATAGGTGAAGAAGTATATACAGGGATCACACAGCCTTTACTCTTACTTAATATGGAGAAATTCCAGTGGAAAGAAAACATCGAACAGATGCTCAAAATCCAGAAAAATCAGACAGAGAAAAACATGATCACTATGAAGTAAGCTCACCTGTAATACTTTTACCTGTCCTTTGAGCAGGGAACTTTTCTCACTATGAAGTTAGCTCACCTGTAATATTTTTACCTGTCCTTTGAGCAGGGAACCTTTCTCACTATGAAGTAAGCTCACCTGTAATACTTTTACCTGTCCTTTGAGCAGGGAACTTTTCTCACTATGAAGTTAGCTCACCTGTAATATTTTTACCTGTCCTTTGAGCAGGGAACTTTTCTCACTATGAAGTTAGCTCACCTGTAATACTTTTACCTGTCCTTTGAGCAGGGAACTTTTCTCACTATGAAGTTAGCTCACCTGTAATACTTTTACCTGTCCTTTGAGCAGGGAACTTTTCTCACTATGAAGTAAGCTCACCTGTAATACTTTTACCTGTCTTAAGAGCAGGGATCTCTTATCAAGGGAATAAGAAATTTGGAAGTAAATTTCAAATACATTTGGTAGTGATCTGTTCTGTAGATAAATGGATAAGTTGGATTATTTACTGGTGAAATATGACAAAACCTTAAAAAAGTTTAAATTTCAATTCATTCATCACTGAAATTGATAATGTATTGACAAATTGACCAGCATAAGGTAGATGTAGAGATGTTTTTTGTATTTGTTTTTAAATCTGTTTGTTTTTACTGGTATTACCAGCTCAGTATATAGACTATAGGACTTGTGTAAGTGTGTCTGTAGGGCTTTTCTGTTGCTTGTTTACAGAGCTATTTATATTAGTTGTTAACATATACTTGTTTTTATTGATTATTACAGGGGTGCATGTCACCAGAGTGTTACAGATTTCCAGTTCATTGTTGGGAAACGACTGGCTCGGTTCTTGGATTGTCGACATATCATACATCCCCGTGTCTCCATGGACCTCTGTAACAAAGCTGTGCTCAGCTTTGTGTGGAAACATTTGGGTAAAAAATTAGTCACAGTATGATGATATATCACTTAGAAAATAAAACTTGTCAAACATTTTGTTGAGAAAAAAGGTTTACAGCCATTACACCTCAAACTACAGGTAGATTTGATTAAATTGCATAAGTTTGAAACTTTTAAATTAAAATTTCCATTTTATTTTTTAAAATACCTATTGAAGGACTGCAGAAGGATACAGTGGTATTGAACATTTCTTTCAGCCAGAATTTGTTATCCAGGATGTACTTGTCTACATTTGTTCATCTCTTTTTCAGGCTGTGAAGACCGAGAAATCCATGAGGATATTTTGTCAGGTGAACACTCCCTCATGATAAAGGGAACAAACGTCAACATGTCATGATAATCAAATATTTGTAGCTCGAAAGTCAACATTGTAACGACAAATTTTTCTTTGTTGTTTAATTATCTATTTGTTAAAAGCGTTTTGTGATATATCAAAAGTTGCAAGTTGATGGAAATATGTTTTAAATTTTCAAATATCCACAGAGCACATCTCTTAGAATTCACGCAGATCAGTGTTCGTTAGATGCTTGACACTTAAGCACTTTCTGATGATGTAGTGAAACGTTTTGTTGAGTTCTTAAAAATCAAGTCGTGATTTGTCCCCTGGATTTTTGCTTTTGATTTAATGGAATGCTATTATAATAGTTTCCACAATTAGAATAGATATATCCATAGTTTGCATAAAAAGATATGAAGTTATTTCAAAATTGATTTAAAACATTTCAGTTTTGGATTCATATGTTTTAGAACAAGATTGTAAAAATGTTTGACAAAATTATTGACACAATTTATTTTTCAAGTCATTCTGGAAGTATGAGATATCAACTTTTGTAATTTAAGTTTGAAAAAAAAACCAGAAATATGGAGAAACAGGAAGAAAATTTGACACCAAGGTATGATTTAACAATAGTGTAATCTCAGTTCTCCTTGTCAGGTTCTTTAGAGATTTAATTTGTTTACATATGACAATTATTACCATGAAAGTTTGTTACTATGGTTACCAGTTCGTCTCTGGAGGTTGCCATGGCAACACTCAACCCATTAATGTCTTTCACTGTTAATGTAATTTGTTAAAATGCAACAAATATTGTCTTTATTTCCGTTGTCTATATTTGTATATAATGTATTAATTTGCCTAAAACTTGAAGCTTTATAGTGTATATTTATATTGCTATGTTATAAGTTATTATTTTTCTTGAATGTCTTTTAAGAAAAACAACATCACCGTAAATTCTAAAAATTACAATTTTTGTATTTATCTGACAATAAATCCACACATCTGTATTGTTGTGCACGTAAATAAATGGTACAATATAGTTGATTATTTCCACATGGATGATATTTTTTTTCACTCTGTCATGAGGAATTACTTTGTTGCCAAAATTGAATGTGTGAAATAAAAGTCGCGTAAAAGTTATATGCGATATAATAAATTGTAACTAAAGACAGTAACGGTCTAAAGGAAATTTTATTTATTATGATCGAGAGGAATGGAAAATAGACTGTGACATCTAAAACATAGATTATTATTATGAATTGTAGTGGTGTTTGACTTATAAATCAATGATTTCGTGTTTAAAACTTGACATCAGCAGCAACAAAAATTCATTAACACAAGTATTCCTCTTCAAATCCAAATTACAAAATTTTGATTTGTTAATATTAAATTCTCATGTTTTAAATTGAAAATCCGTAAAATTTTGATGTACAAAAACAACCAGCTATATGGCATTTCTTTGTCCTGTGGTAGGCCAAACATGCTGAGATTTAGTGAGAATTTGTAGAAGCCCCTCTACAAAATAAATAGTCAGCATTTTCTGAATGCAGAGCTCTTTTAAGATAAAAATACCATGTCTTTTTTCTAGATTATTAACCAATCTAACTCTTGGTACCTATGACTTATATTTTGTTTGGTGTATGTCTTCTATATTCTGTAATAAGCCCATGCCTTGTAACATGCCACTCCGTATAGATTTGGCTGTTCAGTAGAAATATGTGCCTATTCCATTGACTTGTGTTTAGTGTAGCCCTAGTAGATTCTGACCACAACATACAGCGTGGCAGGAATGATCTTATCTCAGAAGAAGAATTGGTTGTGTGTAAAATTAGTAAGCCAGAGGACCAGGGTTCAAATCCTAGCCGAAGCATTGAAATAAAAAATTATCTCTGTTACATTGGTGCCTGAGAAGGAACTCTATGCTTAGCATTGCATTTATATGCATAGCTGTAACCCATGGAAACTCAAGAGCAAGTCATTTCCTTGAAGGGGAGTTTGTAACCCTGGAGAAATAATTGCCTCAATATACCGCTAAGCAAGAGAGTGGTCTTCTCTATAGGTCAGTCAGTTTGGCATTAGACAAGTAAACCAGAGGTCTTGGGTTCAAATACAGGAGGAGGCATTAATATGAATAATGACTTCTGTGACATTGGTGCCCATGAAAGGACTCTGGTATAAATACTTAGTGTTACTTTCACAAGCATCACGTTGATGGGTTGGGCAGTAGATCAGTAAGCCAAAGGTCCTGGGTTCGAATCTTAAGCATGGAAATAAGTGCGAACCTCCATCACCTAAGCCTATTGTCTTGCATTTAATATGGGGCATATATTGTCAACTTTGGCTGTTGTCGGATAAATAATTCTTACACTTGATTAAGAAACAATGACATTTATAAATCATTAGATGTTGATTTAGATAGAAAAAAAGTCAGTAAAGCTTTACACTTAATCAATGCAATTCATTTCACAGTCATCAGATAAGTTAACTGCATAATTGTTCATTTTTCTTTGTAATCTCTTAAATGTAATTTTTTTTTTTTTTTTTTTCATTTATGACATTTTTATTTTTCTCCACTTAGATTATACTTAATTTTGGAACAATATCAAGCAAAAGATTAAATCGTGATTTCAAAACTGTTACTTAAAAAAGATTTGCAACAGGAGCAATGTTTGTTTAGAAATAAAAGATTTTAAAGTGAACACAATAGATTAAAAAAGTAGAAATATACCAAGAATTAAGAAATCTCATTTTTGTTTTAATGTTCTTACCTGAGGTTAATTTGACTTAACGTTCGTAATGTGACTCAAACACGAGTTATTGATAGCATTTTTTGTATAAAGAACATTAACACATTCCAGTGATCATGTTATCTACACAATGTATATCAGAAGGTTTTTAGCATATTCATGACATGAATATTTATGTTTTATCATCAAAGATCTGAGTTCATAATTTTTTTAAGATCTGAATTTTAATATCTCCTTTTCCCTTCCCTTCTCTATTTTTTGCAAATATCATGACATTATACATTTTGATATATATGTATAAGCTGGTGCTTTTCATGATCTCTGTATCTTGAGGACTATCTGTTTCACTGTTCTTGTATCAAATCCCTCCATGGTTTAGAGTAATGTAGCAATAGACATTACTCGTTGGTATATGATACTGATGTACCTCCGTTTCAGAGTTAATTGAAACCCTTTGTGTCACGTGTTAGATTCTTTAGAATATATACATCTTGACATTTTTCTTACGTTAATCCAATCTGGAGTAGGTACTTCTCCCTGTCTACATCTTTTATTTCAGCTTAATTTGATATCACTACCTCCCCATTTAGATTTCTTTACATATTTAAGCCCCTTGCATCAATGACGAGTCTTAAAAAGATGAAAAAGCTATATGATACCGGTTCATTTATCATTCAACATGCTTATATATTATTCATATTATCAAATCTGTATTGAAAGATTCTGGTTATTTGAGCGTCATTTGTACAAACTTTTGTCTATGATAAAATTCGGTAAAATTGTAAAAACAAGACAGTTCAACCATGAAGGAGTTCACAATATTTTTCTGTAAACTAGGTAGTTTGGCATGAAGGAAATTTGGCAAATTAATGTAATGTTGAATTATCACATTCACTCTAACTGCTATTTAAATAAAATACCAAAACTTCAACTATCACAATGGTATTTTCGCACAATATTTCTCAATGCTAAAATCTGATTTCCTTTGAAATATATACATTTACAGTATTTTACAAAACTACACAGCCAAGGGCAAGAAACAAGTCCTTAATTTTTTTTTCTTTGTTTTAAATAATTATTTTTAGTGTTTTAATACAATGTATGAAGGTGCCTTATACTCAATTTGAAATCTTAGACTTAATTGATGTACGATAAATCAAAGGATGTTTTTAAACTTTCTTTTTCTATTTTGTGTTTGATAAACAAAGTTTATTTAAAGAAAATTGAAATGTTCTTGGATGATTTTTGTGACAAACAATTTTTTGAAAGACATTTAAATAAGGATGTTCTTTATATATTTTATCAAATACAGGGTATTTCATCAGCATACAATATCGTTGAATGTTGATCATTTTTACTGTACAATTTTTGTTATCATTATGAAATTGATGTTAGAATTTGAAAATTGTGATATTAAAGTGATTTCGTATTGTCTGTGTTTTATGCTATAATTTCATCTTTCGTTTATATTCTGTTGTTAAATGTCACACAAATTTAATTCAAGACATAATCTACGTACTTCAGATGAATCGTAATATTTCAAAAATAAACAAATAAGTTTACAAAGTTAAAATCAATTATCACTCTCTTGAGAAAACTTTGAAATTAATAGGGTACTAAACAAGATTTGTTTTTTGTTAGGAGAGAGAATGTTGATCTTTCAGGCCAGAATTAAAACATTGTATGGTACTTGACACATATATACTCTATGTACCCTGAATTCATTATTCAGCAAAATGGAACAAAGCAAGATTTTGGTGGTGTATTTTTCATTATCGGAAAGAAGCATGCAACATTTATGTTTTTATATTGTGTAAGAATATACCCATTGATGACCCGTATAATCACTTTTGTATTATAGCTTATTAGTGTATTGATCTGTAAGTTAAATTTCTGTATGGCATAATATTACTCATCTTAGTGGTGCTCACTGCTACTCTTACCAACATGTAAAACTAAAAATCTGATACATTAGATAAATACATTGTACCATGATCTTATAATCTGATTGAATGTGAAATATAAATTATTTTCATCTTATCAAACTGAATTTCTCAGTTGTGATACAAGAGTATATACACCTGGGTATATGAATCTAAAGCTGATATGTAAACCTGGTCTATACTTGTCTTAATTTGTACTAATTTTTTCTTTTTATTTTTCTTAAATTTTTCCCTCGGATTACTTGTGTACACAAAATTGGTGCTTCATTTCTTATGAATTTTTTTTATGGTGTGTATTTTTTGTATTTTTGAAATTTTATAGCAGTACAAAAAAAATCACATTTTTAATATTCTATTGTTAAATACATGA